CCACTACCAGGCTTACGACTACTACTACTACTACAACTACTACTAATACTATTACTGCTACTACTACTACTACTACTACTACTGCTACTACTACTACTACTACTGCTACTACTACTACTACTACTACTACTACTACTACTACTACTACTACTAGTACTACCACTACGACTACTATTATTATTACTACTGCTTCTTCTACTAATACTTATACTACCACTACTACTACTACTACTACTACTACTACTGCTACTACTACTACTACTACTACTACTACTACTACTACTACTACTACGACTACGACTACTACTACCACTACTACTACTACTACTACTGCACTACTACTACTACTACTAACTACTAACTACTACTACTACTACTACTACTACTACTACTACTACTACTACTACTACGACGACGACGACGACGACGACGACGACGACGACGACGACGACGACGACGACGACGACGACGACGACGACACACTACTAACTACTACTACTACTACTACTACTACTACTACTACTACTACTACTACTACTACTACTACTACTACTACTACTACTACTACTACTACTACTACTACTACTACTACTACTACTACTACTACTAACTACTACTACTACTACTACTACGACTACGACTACGACGACTACGACGACTACTACTACTACTACTGCTACTACTACTACTACTACTACTACTACTACTACTACTACTGCTGCTGCTGCTGCTGCTGCTGCTGCTGCTGCTGCTGCTGCTGCTGCTTCTACGACAGTTGCTACTACTAGTTTTACTACGACGACTAATATTTCTGCGACTACGACCACTTTCCTCCCCCACATTTATCGCCCCTCCATTAGGCGACGTCCAACCTCTGCCGGTTTTGGCCCACCACGTATCGGCACGGCGCGAACTTGCCGTAGATCGGGCGAGGTCCCAGCGCACGCTCGGAGTCCAGGCGATCCTCTGGCGGCGGCGGCGGGCCCGCCTTGCTTGGTCGGAGGCCCTGGGCGCCAGTTCTCTGGCGTCGGGCCAGTGCCGCGGGGGACTGGGGCGGCGGAGGTGGGGGGCAGCAGGGGCAATGATTGTGTGGGGACAGGCTGGGGAGGGCTCAGACGAGCAGTTCTAGATCCCCCCAGACCAGCTGTGAAAGGGCAGCCTTCTGTGCAGACCCCGCGGAACCTTCCCAGGCGACTCAAGTCAGCAGACCCCCCAAAAATCAGACCACCGCCCTTTTATTTGATCGCTTCGCTCATCCCGCCGCCCCTGGAACGCTATTTGGGGCCTCTTGGGGCCGTTTGGCGGGCTTCTTGGGAGCTTCTTGGGAGCGTCTTGGGGCTCCTTGGCGTTTGGCGGCGTATTGGGCTCCCCTGGGACCTCTTGGGGGGCTCTTGGGGGCCCCTTGGGGCGGGAGGGGGGGTAGTCGATTGCAGCCCCCCCCCCTCGGAGGCCACGATCCTCGTGAGGGGTGGCGAAAAATAACCTCCCCCCTGGGGATCGCCCCGGACCCGGCCGGGGGTCAGCCGGGGTACTTTTCGTCCGGGGCCCCCCAGGGGCCGCCCCGCGCGCGCGAACTAGAAATATTGTTTAGCAGTTACCGGAGATCTTAGCACACCTATGGCCCGTTGGGCCGGCGAATTGTGAAGCCCGGTTTTCGGACGTTTTACGTAGTTGGGCGGTTCTCCAGCCTCGGTGCTCTCTCCGGAAGCCGCGCCTCGCCGAGGGGCGTCTGGGGCTGCTGCGATCGTCCCGAAGGGCCGCCAGGGAGCCGAGGTATGACCCGAGAACGAGGGCGCAGCGTTGCGGGGGGGCCAGGCTGGGGGGGGCATCGACCGCCAATCGACCACTCCTCATTGGCTGGGGCCCGATAGCCCCGCCTCGTCAGGACCATGCGGATGCGCTATCGGGGGCCAATCGGCGATTTGTCGGCGATGCATCGCGCAGGTTGATGTTTCCCCCCCTGAGCTAATCCCCCCTGTCGTTGTCCCTCAGGGCAGGGTGAGGGCGAGGGGGCATCGGGGGCGGCCAAGAGCGTGGTGATGATTAGGGGTGGATATCTCTAGCCTCCCAGATGGGGTCCGAGTAGATGGGGTCGGAGCATCGCGCCGCATCGCTGATGCATCGGCGATGCGTGTCAGTGAGGAGTCCCATTCTCTCCATGCCGGCGTCGCCGATGCATCGGTCGTGCGCCGCGATCCTCCGACCACATCTATTCGGACCCCATCTACTTGGCATCGCTCGGACGTGTGCATTTTTCTTTCGGCGAGGATCATCGGGGAGCATCCTTGATCACTTGGCGAAAAAAACACGCACGAAACCGAAAAAAAACACAGGGAATGGACGCCCGAGCGATGCCCAGTCTAGGAGGCCTCTTAGGGGGGCATCGGGGGTATCGGGGGTGGCCAGACTGCGGTTGGCCTTGGAGCGAGGGCGTGCGATGTGGCGCCGCGGGCCCGCCTGTTGTTTCTCGGCGGTGGTTCCCCACTTCGGGGACAGCGTGCCCCGAGGAGGCCTCGGCGGGGGGGATGGCGCGCGCGGAAGGGCCCCTCGCGAGGGGGCCTCCTCGCAGGGAGGGCGTGCGCCTCGGACCGCGATGTGTTGCACGTTGCCGCTCCATGACGAGAAAACCGTTGGGGGGGGGGGGATCTCAGAGCTGGGGCCATGGTGTCTGGCCGCAGTTCATGGCCTCCCTCTTCTGCTTTCGGTGCGCTCCCTGCCCCCGTGGGAAAAAACACACACAGACACACACACACACACACACACACACACACACACACACACACACAAAAAAACACATTGTGTGAAAAAAACACTCACACACACACACTCACACACTGTGGGAAAAACACACACACAAAACACACACACACACACACACACACACTGTGAGACAAAAAAAAAAAAAAACACCGTCGTTCGAGTGCGGGCCTCGGCCCATGACTCGCGAACCCCCCTTTTGTTGGACGCCCCCCCGCCCTCTTGGACGCCCGCCCGGGGCAGGGAGGGGGCGTTCCTCGGGGCTTCCGCGGGCCGACGACCCGGAGAGCGGGGGCGAGACAATCGGCAAGGGAGGAGGCGGGGAGAGGGGGGGGTGGGCAGGCGCGGGCGGCGCAGCCTCAGCCCGTGCCGTCCGCGGCGAGGGCGAGGGGGTACGGAGGGGATGATCGGGCCGGACGAAGGGGGGGCTGGGAGGAGGAGGACGAGGAGGAGGAGGAGGAGGAGGAGGAGGACCCTTCATCAGGCGATCACAAACATGGATCAAGGGGGCGTGGATTAGCCACGGGTCCCGTTTCCATGGCCAAACGCGTCCCTGAGACTAAGATTGCGCGGTCTCGGTGCAGTCTTCTGAAGCTCTAGGCCTCCCAAATGAGGTCCGATCAGATGGGGTCTAAGAATTGCTCCGCATCGACGATGGATCGACGATACGGCTCGATGGGGAGCCAGAGTTTCCTCACGCCGATGGTGCCGATGCATCGGCGATGCGGCGCGATCCCCCGACCCCATCTACTCGGACCTCATCTAGGAGGCCTCTAGAAGCGCGCATGAACATTTTTGGGGTTCTGAAGTCGCAGCGGCTTAATTTGTCGTGGGATGGGATGGCGCTCCTACAACTCCAGCGCGATCTTCCTTGGAGGGCCCTGAGGGTGGACCTTATGCTCTAGAGGGGGTCATAGTGAGTGCTATGGTCTTTCCGCCCTATTCCATCCTCCTTCCTCAGGCCTCCCGTCAGTTCCCGGCTCCTGTGGACAAACACTTACGGCGCAGATTGTGACAGAGTTTCTCGCTGTCGCCAGCGGTTTGGTAAAGCTCAATCGCGCGGTTTGGCAGGGCAGGTTCGGGTGGTAGTCGACGGAAAAAAAAGGCAGAGCGCAGTTCACGGCGGCCGTCCACTTCGTTGCGCGCGTCGTGTTTTCAGCGTGGTCGGCCAGCAAGCGTACCTCCTTCCCTCCTCTCCCCATCTCCCCCTCCCCCAGCCCGAACGCACGTCAGCATGGCGTGCCAGCGCAGAGTCTGGGACTGGAGGGAGCCGTGCGGCCAGATACTGATGAGGAGGAGGAGGAGGAGAAGAAGGAGGAAGAGGAGGAAGAGGAGGGGAAGCAGGAGGGCGAAGATGAGGCAGACGAGGAGGAAGGTGTGGGAGGGTGGCGTGTGTTTTCCGAATCCCGCCACGAAGGTTGGCATTCTGTGCTCCTTGGTGCAGAGCAGGGCGCACTTGCACGGAGGCCCGTTTTCGCCCGCTCGTTTCAGCCATTTGTGGAGTTTTCGCGGTCCCGCAGGCAAGGCGTTGCAGCTTCGCAACGATGCCGCGTGTTTTTCGACTGCAAGTCCTATATCACGGGTGCAGGTAGCGGGGGAGGGAGGGACGGCGCAGGCAGAGTACGCTGGGGTCCGGCGACAGAGCTTCGCGGAGCGAAGTCCACGCTTGTCGGGGTCACTGCGCAACGCATGACCACTCCGCCAACGCCTCGGGCCTGACGCGAGGGAGCCCCCGCACTGCCCTGCGCCGCCCCCCCGCCCCCCGCATCTGCCCCCGGCCGGCCTGACTTTGAAACTCACCTCGGCAGGTTGGGTGCAGTCCAGGCTCCTTACAGCGCACCCCCCGAGGTCGGGGGGGCTCCTCCTCCTCCTCCTCCGCCTCCTCCTCCTCCTCCTCCTCCGCCTCCTCCTCCTCCTCCTCCTCTTCCTCCTCCCCTCCTCGCCCTCCTCCTCCTCCCCCTCCTCCTCCTCCCCCTCCTCCTCCACCTCCTCCTCCTCCTCTCTCCTCCTCCTCCTCCTCCTCCTCCTCCTCCACCTCCTCCTCTCCTCCCCCTCCCCCTCCTCCTCCTCCCCCTCCTTCCGGCGCGAGCGAAGGCAACCGTGCCTCGCTCCCCCGCGGCCCAGGGGGCCGCAGAGCTGCCGCCCTCGGCCTCTGTGGGAGCCAGGACTGCACCCAAGGGGGAGACCGCTGGACTTGGCCTGGCATCGCTCGGACGTGTGCATTCTTCCCTCGGCGAGGACCATCGAGGAGCATCCTCGATCATTTGGCGACAAAGCCACGCACGAAGCCGAGAAAAGCACAGGGAATGGACGTCCGAGCGATGGCCAGTTGGAGCCGCAGCGGCCGACGCGTCTTGGGCGTGCCACGCCGCCCCCTGGGCCTCCGGACCCCCCGAGGCCTAAGTCGGGCTCGTCCCCCTACACAAGGGATCTGCAAACATAGTGAAACATAGGCTGGGGACGATTTTCCTTTCTTTAGGGGTCTTTTGGAAGATCTGACTTTTTTCATTTTCCCCTCAAAAGCCGCCTGCAGGAGGACATGCCCGACCTGACACTGGCCCCCGAGGCCCCGTCGCCCCGCCCCGAGAGGTCCAGGAGGGCGCCAGCCGTTCGGGGAGATGCAAACATGGCTTAGTAGGGGAACGAAGAGTGCATAAACATAAAAACTCGGAGGTCCGCGCAGATTTCTCTGATCCGCGCTGGGGCCTCCAGGCGGCGCCTCCGGCGCCGCCCCTGGCGCGCTCCGCGCGCCAGGGAGGGGGGTCCAGCGCCGATCCGAGAAGTTCCGCGCGGACCTCCGAGTTTTGATGCTTATGCCACTTCATTTTCCCTCATTTATTTATTGTTATATATATATATATATATATATATTATATATATATATATATATATATATATATATAGGGGGGGGGGGGGGGCACGTGGATTGGCGACGGGTCCCGCTTCCACACTGACTCGGCGCGCCGCGTCGCCAAGTGAGGCGGCGTTGGCGCCGTGTGCAGGGGGGACGTTCTTCGACCCGCGGGCTCGGCGCCCACGCGCCAGATCCACGTACAGCTGGCCCGGAATAGTAGGTCGACCCTGCCAAATCCAGGGTGCCCTTAGGTGCCCTTGTGTTCTGTGCCTCGCGACCCATGCCTCCTACATCCCCCGTGGCAATGTGGCCCTCGGAAGGGTCTTGTGTCCTCTCGCGTGTCCTGTCCAATCAAGGCCGACTGTTTCCCTGATCCATGTGACGTGCACGCGATCCGTGCACCAGTGCACGGCCCTGGCCAGGCCGTGCCTGGGCCCCGGGGTCGGTGTGTACGCCCCCCTGGGCCTGGCCCGGCGAGCAAGCCCAGGGGCCAGGATTGGCCTGGCCGGTGCCGGTGCTGGTGCAGAGCGAGCCGAGGTCCCGCCAGCAGCGCCCCGGCGGGCCTCCCAGGCACCCTTCGCCCGAAATACCGGGGACGGCCAGGTTTTCAGCAGGTTGCGCCCCTGGAGGTTCGTCTCGGGCGACTTCCAGGGGGCCATGAGGAAGCGACCTTGGGCGAAGCGCCGCCTGGACGGGGGCGATAGGCCTCGGGGGCTCACGTCACAGATCTCGAAGAACAGAGAATCGCACAGTTAGGCATGCACTTCTGGAGGTCGGTATTTCCTGGGCCATGCTTCTGCCATTTCCTGTTCCTCGGGGATCCCGACCTCAGGCGTGTGGGCCCGTATGGGGGTGAGGCCGGCAGCTCCGGTGGTGACACCTTCAGGAGGGAAAGAAGCACACAGACACAATGAATCGTCGACTCCCAGGAGAATATGGGAAAATATGGGAAGTGGGACAACATGGGAATTCATGAAACAAAAATGGGGGGAAGACAAAAAACCCTTGAAAAGTGGGGGGGAAGACGAGACCCTTGAAAATGTTGTGTCCCAGGGCCCCTTCGCGCCTGCCCGTTCCTGCCTCGTCGGTGCCCTCCTCGGGCCGCAGCCCGGTGGCCCTGGCGGGCTGGCGCCACGGGCTTCGGCGCCGTGGCTGCCAGCCGGCGTGGGCGTCCGCCCCCCCCACGGCCCCCCCGGGAGCGTCAGCGGGCACGGTCACCCGGGGCCAGGGCACAGGAGGGGACAAAAGCACACAGACGCAATGGAATCGTCGACTCCCAGGAGAATAGGAGAAAAAATATGGGAAGTGGGGGGGGAGACAGAAAACCCAGAAGACATGGGAAGATATGGGGAACCGTTTCATTTGTGTGCATTTGTCTGTGCGTCCCAGGGCCCCTTCATTCCCCAGGTCGTCTTCGCCCTCGTGGCCCCCCGCTGGGGGGCCTTCGTCGCCACGGCTGCGTGCGCCCCCGGATCCCCAGCCAGAGCGCGCGCACCCCGGGAAGCGTCCGGGGAGCAGCGTCATCGGCATCTTCCTGCTTCTCGAAGGCCCTTCTTCCCGCGAGGCTCCCCCTCCTCCTCCTCGTCCTCCTCCTCCTCCTCCTGCTCCTGCTCCTCCTCCACCTCCTCTTCCTCCTCCTCCTCCGCCTCCTCCTCCTCCTCTCCTCCTCCTCCTCCTCCTCCGCCTCCTCCTCCTCCTCCTCCTCCTCCTCCTCCTCCTCCTCCTCCTCCTCCTCCTCCTCCTCCTCCTCCTCCTCCTCCCCCCAGAAGACCCGTCGTCGCTGCCGCGGCATCCCCACTCCCTCTTCGGCAGTCCCCGGGCGCAGCCGTCGACGGCGGAGGGTGCGCGCTCCCAGACTCTCACTTGCACGAGAGCGCCACCGAGCCAAATGCCAGGGGTGCCGCTGGAGGAGGGGCTCTCAGGAGAGGAGGAAAGGAGAGGAGAGGAGATCATGGGGACATTAGAAGAGGATATGAGAGAGGGGATTGGATTGGAGTGCCCTCACGGGGATGTGCACAGCACTTTCCTGCACATCCAACATGGATTGCCAGATGTCCTATTCTCGACCATGGCAGGCTTGTGGACGGCTCTCGGCGAGTGTATCCATGCGCTGCTCGTGAGGTGCGGCCACTCCTGGGGCCGAAGACAAGATTCTCATCACCGTTAAGTCGGAGGAAGCAGCAGTCGAGTCCAACAACAAGACCGAGAAGAGGAGGTTGAGGAGAGGAGCGGGGAGGAAACGAGGGATGCTAAGCGGGATGAGAGTAGAGAGTAGAGGGTAGAGGGACAAGTTTTGTGTGCAAGCGTCTTATGTGACGCCCTACCCCTCCCTCCCATCCTTTACCATGGCGTAGATCTCATCTCTATTCGCATAGTCGGATGTCGAGCAGGGCAATGATCCCCAGAGGGTACGAGATGCATGGTAGTGCACGGCGTAGCACTGTGCAGCACGGCGTAGAAGAGCACGGCGTAACATGTTCGGAGGGAAGCCAGTCATGACGCAAAGCCAAACATATAAATCAATGGTGCGGAAAGAGCGGAAACATAAAATTAAAGCCAGTGGTGTCGTAGGAACACGGTTTGGAAGATCCGCAACACAGAAATCAGGTCAGCGTTGCAGCGTGAGTAGGATTTGGAAGGATAGAGAGCCAGAAGATGGAGCCAGCGCCGTAGCGGGACAATATATAACGAAACGGCGACAATTTGCCCAACATTATCACACTGACACTGAATCCCCTCGCGTTTTCTCCGTCATGTACACCAGAAGCCTCCGAAATTGAAACAACATACAACAAACATGACAAATTACGACCTACCTTAATATAGAAATTGTGCGCACTATTAGGAATGGAACTGAGAATGTATTTGCGCGTTCGGTAAACCGCCCTGACGTAACAACCAACGTGCATACTTATTTCATCAAAAAAACTACAAAAACTAGGAGATGTAGCCAGAATGCCTACTAATAGGCTCGGAGCGTTGTTGTGCCCCGGGGCCGAGGTATTATGGCGAAAGGGACCAGATCCATGAAATTCATGCCAGAATTCACCAACATACTTGCGCAAAAGTGGTATCCATGGATTGGGTGCGGGACTGGCGGTGGCACGCGCTGATATCAAATATGGCGCCGGCCTGCCCACGACCCCTTTGGAGCCGACGCAGGCCTCTACCGACGTGGAGGTCGGGCAACGTGGAGGTTGCCAAATTCAACATTTGTCCTTCTCCTCGTCCTCCTCCTTTAATGATGCTTGTTCCGTCGCATGTGTCGCGTCTTAGTTCACCTGAGCTTTGTTTCGGGGGCGCACCGCTTGCGAATTAGGTAGGTCCGATGTTGGGGAAGCCTACATGGAACAACACATGTATTGATGTCTCTTTGAGCATGCACAGATTCGGCAGCACAGCGCGGGTTTCGTGTCACCATTGTGGATTTCGGCCCGGATTCTGCGACCACACAAGCATATATGAATATGATGCGTTAGGCAAACTGTAGAATCATTAATCATGAAACCAGATTCCACGCTTATCCGTACGTACCACCGTCGTAATATCCATTCAGGGGATGTACACCTGATCTCCAGTCGTAAATACCGTGCATGATCTCTAAAAAATGACGTTCAACTCTTCACGCTTCGCGTATCCCCACCAGTTCACCAAGACAGGAGCGGCAAACCTCCCTGGGTCCAGCGCCTCGGGAACAGCTGCTCCCGTGGCCGAGCAGGCCCCCAGGACTCTCTCGCAGCTCATGGAGCTCCTGCCGGGGCTGCCAGTCCCTCAGTGGCCGCTCCTGGACAACAGGGACGCCACCAACCCCACGCTCAGGCCAGACGACCCCAGGAGTGGGTCTGGCAACGGAGACGTGGTCGTTCACCAGCTCCTCGTGACCTACCTCTGGGACTTCCACCCTGGATTGGATTACATTTGGCGGCAGTTCTGTCACGGCCAATGCGATGATAACATCCCAGAGCCTAAAAACGAAGAAACCTCTTGGCCAGGCAGTCGGTCGACGAGGTTTCTCAGGGCGGCGTACGGCGACAACATCCCGAAGGATTGCTCCCCGCTCAACCAGCCCTGGGCAGGCAAGCGGCTGGCCGCCGCACGAGTCGTCTCCCACTTCACCAACGGCGAGAAACACAAAGAGGCCTGGGAGCGGCACGTCTCGACCCTCGCCCCGGAGAGTGGCCTCAACCCAGTCAGACACGAGATGGGCACGCTGACGAGCTTCCTGCTCAGCCTCAGCACCGATGCCCTGGCCTCGACAACCATCGTCGCACGCGCAGGCCATGAGCGAGGACATGCCCGGCAACGCGGCAGGGCGCCCTCCGGCACAGTGGCTGGGCCCCAAGCTCGAAGCTCCAGCAAGACCCGAGGGAGGCACCTCCACAGCGGTTGGTGCAGACAACTCCCTGGGTACGAAGGACGCCGAAATGGGTGCTGGAGACGCGAAGGTGCCTGGCCTAGCTGCCAAAGAGGAGGACGACGAAGACGAGGTTCCTGCTACTGAGCGAGCGGATTCGGCCGACTTTGGAAGCCCCCACGAGCCTCCTCCCCCTGATGACTGCGCGGACCCGGCCGCTGGCCCCGCTGAAGATGATGGCCCTGGCGCCAGGCCGCCACAGCAAAGCCCAACGGCAGAGCGCATGGAACCCAGCTCCGACGACGACCCCTTGGCCGCCTGGGGTCGTACAGCCACCACCGAGCAGAACGCCAGTGGTTCCAGCGGGCCAGGTCAAGATGAAGCCGCGCGAGAGAGAGGCACAGCGCAGGACCGCCGCCCCCCACTACGCAACCCACAGACACCAGACCGCAGGCTTGCCTACTCTGGCGCAGCGGGACGACACGCTCTCAACCAGCTGACCGACGCCCACGGAGGCCCCATGTACAAGGCCTGGTTGGGCTCCGTGGACTTGGAGCGCACGGACGAGAACATCAACAAGTTCTTGGATGACTGGAAGCGCTGTGGATACGATGCCTACGCGATGGACAAGAAGTATAACTTCCGCATCGACTGGGCAACGGTACGGTCCGAATACATGCGCCACACCAGGACCGACGGCACGGGCAAGGGCAGCCACCAGCAGAGCAGCTGGTATGACCGGGCTGGGAGCTCCTGGGACGCCTGGGACAACTGGCAGAGTGGCTGGAGCTCTGGCTGGCACGACGACCAGTGGCAGTCAGGAGGCAAGCGTGGTGGCGGCAGGCCAGACGATCGTGGCGAGAAGAGACAACGGTGGGGCGACTGAGCCCCCCCCATCCCCAAGAGATTCAGGTGCAGCGTCCGATTTCCACACTCTGTGCAGCCTTCAGCTGCCTCCCTGGGTTACGTTTCATATACTCGTGTGGCGGCCTTCAGCCGCCCTCCCTGGTACACGCACTTCCTGCCTTTGGACCCAAGTGTGTTTACCAGCAATACCGTCTGCATGACTGCGCTGGGGCGTGTTGCGTGCAGGCCATAGTTGGCCCCTGGCCCCGCTGTAGTTGTTTTCACCTCTGGCCCTGTCGGACTTCGCCCCCCGGCCTCGCGGCTCTGTGACCGACGCAAAGATGGCTTCGCCTCGTCACTGTCCAGAACCGCACTCTCACTCCCTGGGTTTCTTTAAGGTACAGCGGCATTCAGCTGCTCTTCTTTGTTATTCCCTGGGGGCGACCTTGGGCGGGTGGCGTCCCGACAGCGGGTTTCGAACGCATGACCAGATGGTGCACTTCTGAGCCGTTGAGGCACGCCTCCGGCACGGCAGCGCGGCGCGCCCACCCGCAAGGACGTTGTTGCCGCGCCCGGGCGCAGGGGCGCAGTTGCGCACCCACATGCGCGCACCAGCCACAGTGTTGCCGCGGGTGGTCAGCGGGCTGAGCCTATACCTGTGCCTAGTGCGTACGCCTGCTTCCTTTGTTGGCCGCCAGTTCCTGTTGCCCGGACTGGCATCATCCCATCGTCGCTCCCCCGCTCGACCTGGATGAGCGGCCCTTAGCTCCCTGGGCTTCTTCGTGACCACTGGCTGTTGCTTCGGCTGCAGCTGGTAAGCGGCAGCGCAGCTTTCCCAGAGCGCCATCTTCTTACACTTCACTCTGGTACGCCAGGGTACCAAGGATAGGCGTGGCTCTGCGTATGCTTGTCACGTCAGATGCCCCCTGGTACGCGTTCCTGCTCTTATCTTTGGTTGCTAGTCGCCTGCGACTTGTGCCTGGTCGAAGATTGGGGCAGTTGTACCTTCCGCATAGCGTCACATCATGTTACCTGATGGATCGCTTGCGAACGCGTCTCTGTTCGAGGTTGTCTTCCCGGGCCTGACGTGCCTTGTTCGGTTACAGACACCACGAATTTCGCGCCATTTTGGCTGCGTTGGTGCGTGCTCTGAAGCTGCGACGGTTCGCTGGCGCTGTCAGAGTCCAACCTCTCCCTACGGTATGCAGTCAGGCGGCAGCTTGCGCGTCTCTCGGACGCTTCTGCTTGAGCATGGTTCAGACACGCTGGGACCCTATGGTACGCCATTCGCGCCGAGGTTTGCAGACTCCCTACTGTTCAGATAGTGTACCCAAGCAGCGTACTGCTTGGCCATGGCCTCAGACACCTTGGGGTTATTTGCATCGCGCCATTTTGGCAGCGTAGTTACAGACTCCCTGGGTGCAGGTCCCTGGGCGTCAGACACCCTGGGTTGCAGCGCCCGCCGCCCCGGCGCCGGCCGCGGCCCGCGCGCGCGTCCGGCCAACTAGTTTCGGCCGCAGCCCGACCGTTACTCGCCGCCGCTGGCGCTTCCGCCCGCGGCTGCAATAATAAAATTTGCCTGGCGAAGGACCCAACCATATGCAGTTGTGAATGCCGCAATTGTGCTGGGTGGTGGCGGGCGCATGCGGGCGGTGCCACTGGGGCCTTCGGTGGAGCTCCCTATGAGGC